ATTTAGGTCCCTTGACTGTGTGGGTTTCTCTCCTTTCCATTTTGCTTCTTAAAAATTTAGAGAGAGGCCCTGATTCAGTCTTGTGACCTTCTCACTGGTTAGCTTACACTTGCCGGGCATAAGCTTCCCAGACTGTGATATTTGGCTAACTGGCTATTGTATCTTCCCTGCCTATACCTTGCTTGAAGAGGCTTCCTGACTATAGCTGACCTAGTATATGTCAGAAGTATTTCTCAAATCTAACACATAACAAATATCAAGTAACCACATCAGTCAGAATCCGTGAACACCTTTGAAAATTTTCATTCATTATGTAGGATTCTTTTTAGTTACATTTTCTTGGTGGTAAGCAGCAGCACTTTGTCTTTTACTAGCACAATCAAAGTTACTGATATAATTTAAAGGTATTTGGATATCCCATGGAACTTAAAGAGAGGAAGGTAGCTGGCATCCATGAATAACTTGATCTAACAACTTAAATTTTTCAGTATTCTTTTTACTTCTGGCTTCTCTACAATTAGCTTTATACTTCCCTCTTACTGTAAACTGGCTTTCTCTATGTAGAAGTGACTGTAATATAAATGCAAACCATTTATGTCTCATAGTTTGGGCCACCTAAGAGATTGATTTTCTTAAATGTTGATAATTTTAAAAATCCTTGACCAGATTTGCATAAAGACAAGCCTTGAAACTTCTGATTTTTAAAAGATTTTTTTCAGGGATGCTGAGTAGCTCAGTGGTTGAGCAGCTGCTTTCAGCTCAGGGCGTGATTCCGGTCCGGGGATTGAGTCCCGCATCAGGCTCCCTGTGAGGATCCTGCTTCTCCCTCTGCCTGTGTCTCTGCCTCTCTGTGTGTGTGTCTCTCATGAATAAATAAACAAAATCTTAAAAATATATTTTTTTCATATTTGTTAAAAATCTCTTTACTAGTTAATAGAAATAAGCATACTAAAGTGGGATTCTAGAATCTGCTAAGTCACCAGTTTAATTTAGGAATTCAATTAAACAAAATACCCAATATGGAAGGAGACTGTGTATACATCAGGGCATTATGCATTTGGAGATAAAGCTTAGAGGGAACCATCAAAATGGCCAGGGAATTGGTTTTAAGAATCTGAAACAAAACTTGATCAAACTGGGGATGCCTGAGTGGCTCAGCAGTTGAGTGTCTGCCTTTGGCTCAGGGCGTGATCCTGGTCTAGGGATCGAGTCCAGCATCAGGCTCCCTGAGAGGATCCTGCTTGTCCCTCTGTCTATGTCTCTGTCTCTTTGTGTGTGTCTCTCATTAATAAATAAATAAAATCTTAAAAAAAACAAAACTTGATCAAATTGGTATGGACTCATATGATTTCAAAAGTGAGAAAAGAAACAGAAGTCAGGATGAGCCAAGGGGAGATCTGAAATTAACAACTGGTGAGAAGCTGTCATGAGCCATACTTAGAATTCAATTGCACTCTGTCACCACTTGGGATTTTTATTCTCTGCTGTTTTGTGCCATTGAGTACCATAAAGATTCCAAGAATCTTCTGTGAAAACTGGGAAGGGCTGTGAGGGTCCTGGAGCAGAGAAATGGGAGATCTGATCTTCAGAGAGCTGGATGCAGCAGTACAGTGGGATACAGAACAACCAACCATGATATCTCCTTGGTAATCATGCCAGAGATTTGCCAATGTCAGATGTATGTGCTGTATGTGTGTATTCACACATTCCATACCTTCTGTTTGTTCATGCATTTTTAGTGACTTTAAATGATGCAGGCATTAATGAGGGCTTCTGGATTTTTTTTTAGCACCACAAAGAAACAATGAGTTTTCCAAATAACATAGAATGTACCTCACAACCTCTGTATCCTACAGTTATGAAATAAGCATATTTCATAAAAGCTGGACAGTTAAGCAATAGAGACTGGTTAAGGAAAGAAGGTGTCAGCAGATATTGGAAAAGTAGTCACAGTCTTGTTGGTGACAGTAGATTTTGGAGTTATCCTAGAAATGCTCTCCCAAGCTTACAAAGAGGTATTACTTTCCTTTATACTCTCACCTATACTTTGTAGCTACATTTTGTCAATAATTCCTAAGTATTTACTGAGCTCCTTTGGTGCACCCAAGAGCTATGAAGAATTCTAGGAAAATATACAATCCTTGTCATTTTTTAAACATAGAGTCTGATTAGAAGAACCAATCAATATGAAACAGAAAATAGCAACATAAATAGATGAAAGTGATAAATGGCATCATATAACAAGCAGCTTATGTACAAAATTTATTCCTAGAGCACATTAATGTAATCTATAAAAGGAAAAGCAAAAGTAAGATGGATTGAACAAAATCAATGTATAGTTACTGATCAAACTGTACTAGATAATAGGGGAAAATACAACTATTGGGTACGATACTTGGAAAGCTTTCAGTCTGGTCAAGAAGATGAGACACAAACATTTTGGATCATCCTGGGAACCAGTTAGAAAGCATAGAAGAAAAAAGTCAAAACTAAAAAACAGACTGGGACAATACCAATAAACAGTCAGGCATCACCGGATTCCTTCAGTGTCTGATATGCAAGACCTTAAGGCGTCTTGCCTCCAGAGTGGTCTCTGGTTTGTCTGAGCCTCATATGCTGTCTAACCAGAGATCTTCAATAATTGCAGGACTCTTGCAATGAGCCACCTGGATACTGAGATCATAGAGCAGCTTATTGTGGAAAAAATGGGTTTTGAGGTCAGAAAGGCCAGTGTTAAATCTAAACTCTCATTTTCCCTGAGCTTCCATTTTCTCATCTATAATGTGGGCATAGTGAAAATAATGCTTCATCAATATGGTTTTATGGAAATTAGATGAGAATATATGTGTGTATTCTTATACATGGGCAAGCAATATGTATATAATAAGTAATATTTCACATGGTCTAATCTTTTCTTTAGTGCAGTTAACATCGCATTGAAATCTCAGGGGTATTAACGGTTCACAAACCATTCAGTAATATATTCTTAAAGTGGCCCATCCTTAGGGATACTAAGAATAATATTTAGCATTGATTCTAAAATCTAAGTTTACAAGGCATGTTCAAATATGTCACCTCATTTATTCTTCAAACATCTCTTTCTATTCCCATTCTACAGAGAAGGAAAATGAGGCAAAGGTGATTCATGTACTTGCCCTCAGATCACACCACTAGGAAGTTGCTCAGCCCCCAAAACATAAAGTCAGGACGTTACCAAACCAAAGTCGAACCCAGGTTTTCTGACATCAAACCTTAAGTTCATTTCCCGACACCACATACCTCTATACAAGTACTGTGTGTGTGTGTGTGTGTGTGTGTGTGTGTGTGTTGGGGGTTGTTTTTTTTCTTTTTTTGGTGGGATCCAGTGGAAACTGTCTTTCTCCAAAGCCTCTATTCACCCTAAGGTATTTGCTTTTAGGAATTAACAAATAAACTGTGAACATCTAGCTGACCCACTATGTAGATATGAAGACCAGGATCATGCTCTTGATGCCCAGTGTGTTATGTTAAAACATGGAATTTTGTTTTGTAAAATCTGTTGGATTGCTGTTTGTTTTATAATTCAATTAGGATTCCATAGGCAGATCGACATTAAAAAGCTGTTAACTCTGTTAACTCCAGAGGGCACAGCTAATGAAATGTCCCAAAAGTTGAGCACTTGCCAAAACCACTGTGTCTTATAGGACAGCTCTCGATTAATCATGATGAGAGTATTTCCCCTATCTAAATGAAATCTGCAATTTTGGGAAAGAGATGAAAGATCCTGCAGGGGATGAAGGAAAAGATGCTATGAAAATTCTAGAAACTAGAAAAAAAAAGAGATAGGTCTACTCAATATTCATGATGTCAGATTGGTTGATGCAAATAGAGATTGCAATCTCTTATTTCTAATGACTTGGCTTCTAGCACTTCTATACCAGTTTTCCACAGTTTCCTACTTAACTTTAAAAGGAATGACTACAGTTTGTACATTAAAAAAAAAAAGATAGTTTAGCATACCCAATATGATTTTATACCATCTTTGACAAATTTTTAATTTCCTATCTAAGGATTTCTAAGGTACGTGATGAGAAATGCATAAATCACAGAAGATAGGAAAAAGAATGCATAATAGGTAAGCATATATAAGATGTTAATGAGTGAAACTTTCTATTTTCAACATATTCTCAAAAGGCAGTTTAAAGAGAAGGATTATCAATACTAGTTTAGGTTTAAGTTTGCTTCCATGAGGGGATCCCTGGGTGGTGCAGCAGTTTAGCGCCTGCCTGTGGCCCAGGGAGTGATCCTGGAGACCCGGGATCGAATCCCACATCGGGCTCCGGTGCATGGAGCCTGCTTCTCCCTCTGCCTGTGTCTCTGCCTCTCTCTCTGTGTGTGACTATCATAAATAAATAAAAAAGTTAAAAAAAATTAAACATTTAAAAAAATCTTCCATGAGAGAGAAAATAAATTGATTTTGTACAGCCATTTTATTAAGGAATTCTATACATTTTAACTGTCACCCAACTTATTAGAAATTCTTACCTCATACAGCTCAAATCCTCACCTCCTACTGTTGGGTAGAATTTAAGAGAAAATGAGTACAATTCAACTGCTTACTTCATTTCATTACATAGTAAATGTAGCAAACAAATATTTTTTTTTTAATTATTTATGACAGTCACACAGATAGAGAGAGAGAGAGGCAGAGGGAGAAGCAGGCTCCATGCACCAGGAGCCCGACATGGGATTCGATCCAGGGTCTCCAGGATCGCGCCCTGGGCCAAAGGCAGGCGCCAAACCGCTGCGCCACCCAGGGATCCCCGCAAACAAATATTTGAAGGAGGTGGTTGCAGCGAGCTCCAAGATATTTCGTTTATCCCTCAAAATCCTGACACAGCGCCTTTACAGGTCCTCAAGAAATACCATTGAACTCTGTTAAATACATTTAACAGATCTTATCTCAGAATAGACTACTTGTTACTTATTTATTTTTTTTTTTTTCTGTTTCTCTTTTTTAGGCCAGCCCTGCTCCTATAATTGTCAACACAGATACTTTGGACACGATTCCTTATGTAAGTAGCATTTTTATTAAGACTTTCTTTAAAAATTATGTTAGACCTTAATCAGCTAAATTTAAAGTTTGATACATATTCAGTTTAACCCAATCCAGATAATCTTACAAAATATGTAAAATGAGTTTTGTGAGTTTTGTTTTGATATTTGCTAAATCTTGGCTTAGTCATGCAAATAGTTTCTCTTTCATCCATTGTTTTGTAAAGCCCAAGGGCACATCCTGAGAAAACAAACAAGCCGATTGTGTTCAAATAATGTTTCCTAAAAAGATATTGAAATTTCCTGAAAAGATATTGAATTGCTTGTGGAAGAAATGGATAAACTTCTTTGGGTTTCTTATTAAGGAATATTCAAATCACTTTCATAAGTAAGCTATCAATAAACATTTGGTGGATTTTGCTGGACTTCTAACAAGAGTTATAACAGATTTTTATAAGGGGTAGTTTACTTATATATAATGAAATGTGTGGTTTTATGAAAGCCTAGAGCATGAGATAGATAACTAGGCTCAGGCAGCTCAGTAAAGCCTGGGATTCTGTACCTGAAATACAGCCACCCTTATGGTCAAAATTCTCGACAACAAAGTTCACCTGGGCAGGGGAGATTCGAGTGGCAATGGCCACAATGTCGATGAGTGGTTGACATTATGGAGGCCCAACAAGGCTCTATGAGTGGCCCTAGGTAAAGGATAGAAAATAGTGATTTGGGAAGATGGGACAGACACAGGTGTATGCAGATAGAATTTGAAGCAAGGAGAACTGCAGGGATAATGAATAAGAACAAACAGATTCCTGGTCTTTGATTAAATGAATAAACTTGTGAATCGCTTAAAAGAATGCTGGCACAAAGTAAATGTTTGGTAAGTATCAGCTATTCTGAATCTTAGATACCTTAACTCAAATGCCTACAAGTAACTCACAGAAACAAATAGAACAGGAGTCATGGGGACAATAGGGAATAGAGAGCATATGGCCTACCAAAGGGGGCAGCTCCACTTGGCTCCAGTGGATTGCTACCAATGAGAAATTAGGGACCAAGTCCTGCCAGATCATCTAATTTTTCCAGAGAAATTGGAAATCTGAAATTTTATGTAAAAGTTTGGAATTTTTAAATATAGGCAACTGATTTTCCAGAGTTCATGCACCATATGCCAAACAATGTATGTCCAGTCCAGAGGCTGTCTTTTGGGAGGCGTCTGCCTCAGAGGAACTGGAGATCCTGAGCAGATCCTCTAAGCTAGGACTCAGCCACAGGGGAACAGAATGCTAGAACTGGAATAGAAGGTTGGGTCTTGATTACAGGAACAAGTGACTGAAACTGGGACACAAGGTCAGGACAAGAATAACAGCAAGCTTGACTTGATGCTGACTCACCTGAACTACTGAGCTAAGTCTTCTTAAATCCTTCTGAACAAGTCGTTTAGGGTCAGACAAGAAATGGGGTTAAAAGCTCACTGGGAGAAATCAGTGGCCCCAGCTGTGAAAAGAAGAGGCCTCCATTAGAAAGAAGCAAAGCAATGCATTAAAGACACATAGCATCCACTATTCTGTCTCTCACTCTTCCTATCTTCATTTGTCAAGCATTATTATTATTGGGATTACTGTACACCTGAAACTAAGCACTTAACAAATATTAACTTAATCCTTAGAATAACCCTATAAGATAGGTTCTATTAAGTTCTCTATATTACAGATAAGAAAACTGAGTCATAAAGAATTAACCTTTTCAAGTTGCACAGTTCGAAGCAGAGCCAAGAATGAATGTAGATAGCCTGGCTAAAGAGTTTGAGATCTTACTTCACTCCTATCAGGAAGCTGCTTATATTTCTTCCTTCCCTCCCTTGTTTTCACCCTCTCAGCTTAGGGAAAATAAGTATGCTTTCTCCTCTGCTACATGTGACTTTGGGTGGAAGACAGCTTGTCATAGAAGCTCCAATACCTCTGGTGCAAGTAACCATGTATTCTAAGGAATTCTGTGTTTTCACTCTAGTAAATTTGTTTTCTATATCCATTGGCAAAAGCAGATGAACAGTGCTTTGAAGTAGACATGGAGCACAGAGACTTGATTTTGTAAGTAGGACTGCTTTCTTGTGGTAGATCTGTATTATTTCAAAGCCTTCTGTTAGGATTCTCGTGCCTTAACTACCAGATGCCTTCATGTACAAATAATTTACCAATGGAATCTAAGGATTTTCTGCAGACATGCTTAATTGATAACCCAACTAATTAGCTAGTAAAATCAGCCACATATAAGTTAATAAAATCTCTTTCTATTCCCTAAATATCAACTTTGTATGTGACTTTGAGTTCTTTTTTTTTAATCTTCAATTTTTTTGTACTTAATGAAAAACCTCTTTGAGCTTCCTTAAAAGTAGGATCTTTAGAGAAGTTTTCTGAGTAGCTTGGTATGGTAAAAATGTCCCAAAGTGTCTCATGGCAATGTTTTCTTCAGCAACTCATTTAATTTTTCTGGATCTAAATTAATATTTAATACAGGAATTATAATACCTACCTCAGAGGTGATTGTAGGGATGAAATGAAATTATGTATGTGAAATTATGCTTTGTTAATTTCTGGTTCATAGTGTTTATTTATAATTTTAACTAAATAAATACTTATGAAGTAACACATGCTAGACCCTGGAAAATGGTAAATATGACTGTATTACCCAAATATGAATACATCATCTATTGAAAATGGGAGATTTATGGGGATCCCTGGGTGGTGCAGCAGTTTAGCGCCTGCCTTTGGCCCAGGGCGCGGTCCTGGAGACCCGGGATCGAATCCCACGTCGGGCTCCCGGTGCATGGAGCCTGCTTCTCCCTCTGCCTGTGTCTCTGCTCTCTCTCTCTCTCTCTCTGTGTGTGTGTGTGTGACTATCATAAATCAATAAAAAATTAAAAAAAAAGAAAATGGGAGATTTAGCATGTAGCCATTAATGTAGATATACTTTGGGTCTTTGGGTCTTGGCGGGGGCCCAACTCTCCTCTTTGTTTCTGACTCACTGGGTAACCTTGAACAAATTACTGTTCTGTTTGCAGTCTATTTTCTCATTCCTCAGTGTTCTATACTTTGTTTTCCTCTTTTCTTTTTCATGTTCTAGTTGTTTGTATAATTTCAGGTCTATTTAATGAAAAACAATCTCAGAGCTCCCAGAGGATTTCACTCATATTGTATAAGAATATTTCTTTCTCTAAAAATATTACCTAAATGACAAATTTTTATATTATTATATTTATGACAAATAATTTCATTACAAGTAAATGTATTAATTTTGCTAATTAGCAAATTTGATTCTAGAAATATATTGTCCTCGTGGAAACAATTCCTTTGCATGCATGCAAATAGCAATTGAATAACTAGAGGAAATCTGTGGCCAAAGGAAATTTTTAAGTGTTTAATAAACACATAAAAAATATTTAAAGAGATTTCTGCCTTTTTTTTTTTAAAAGACAGTAAGTTAAGGGTTATTAGAGCTCATAGAGGGTCTGCTGTTAACAAAGAGGGGGTCACTGAGGTTCCTATGTAAAAATGCTTCAAATAAATTCACTCTTGCATGATGTCATGATGTAATAAGGTTGAATAAGACCTTACATATGGTATAGTCCCACCTCTCCTGCAAAGCAGAAGTCCCTAAGTGAAGATTAAAATCACTCAAGAAAAAGCAAAGAAAGTAGAAGCAAATTATCATTTCAAAACTCTGTAGTTTACATTTTTCACTCAGTATTCTTTTTATTCCCCATTGTATGTTAAATATTGTCTTATGACAGCTGCTGAAAATTCTGTGTTGTTAAAGAGTTCAGACTGAATGGATCCTGCATATGATCTGTCCACATCCCTGAAGGCTTAGTGAAAAGGTAACATGTTACCCTCTTGGTACTCTGCAGTCAACTGACGTGGGAGCCTCTTCCTCTAACATACTTCTACCCTTCAGCAGACCTGTCAGAGTCCTATATTGAACTCCATCAAAAAAAAAAAATTATCTCTACTTTAGAAAAATAAAATTAACCAGAGAGATTCTAGGATGCTTCCTCCCACCCTTACTTCTCTAGAGTGCATTTCATAGTGGTTATATTTTGATTTGTTTTCTGAAAATATGCTGTGGGAAGTGGTATACTCAAGAATCATGAGTTTAAACTCTTGTTAAGTAACTTAGGATCCATTGAATGCAAACCTCTCATTTTACAGATACAAATATTCTAGCCCAACTAGTAAACGGTAGAGCTCAATCTGTCATTTACTTTTACTCCACATAACAGTTTTTGATGTGCAACCAATAACCACATAATCAGTGTCATATAACAATAAACATTTATTTCTCCCATAAGTGTGTGCTGGATGGCTGGACCAGCTGCTTTAGGCTAAAGATTACCAGGTTGGCTAGGACATCTCTGATTCACACGTTTCATTCTGGGGCTCAGAGGGGGACAGTATTACCCAGAGTATGTTATTTCCATTGTAATGGCCAAAGCACAAGAGGACAAGCCCAGGACACAAACACAGTTAAAGGTTATGTTCCCATCACATCTACTAACACCCCACTGGCTAAAGCAAATCATATTGCCAAGGTCAAAGTAGAAGGAGTGAATATTTGCTCAACAAGAAACTAATTTACACACCAAACTCTTAAGTAACAGGGCTAAGAATTTATATATGTCCTTTCTAAGAAAAACAGCTACAAAAGAAGGAATCTTACATTTTTAAAATATTAGTGGGTCAATGGTAATAAATAAAGTGTTAAAGGGACCTGGTTCAGCTGATGGGACAGTGAGTATCTTCCAATGATGGGAAGTGAGATTATTAAGGATGTTTAAGGGATACTATTAAGAAATAAAAGAGACATCTAGCATGTATTGACAGTACAATGACCTTACTTTTCTTTGAGACACTTTGTTGTCTGAAACTTTGCTTCTAGAGGGAGAAATAATAATGGAGACAAGGAAATTTGTTCCAGAAATTCCAGGACTGAGGTTTGGAAAACCTCCCAAGAAAGTGAGGGA